TTTGGGATTAAGTGGGTTCGAGATTCAGATGTGTTTCCCTAAGGGTCCAAGTACCTAATAATCATATACTTACCCCAAACCTGTACTATAATTACTATTACCCAAATCCCAAGTACCCAAATATTGGGTACATGGGCCCTTAGGGTTTTGGGCTACATTTATGCAACCCCCTTGTTATTGCACGTTCCCAAACATGACGCGTTCCATATCCGATGCCTGATACACACATTGGCATATCTAATCTTCAGGGCCGGGGTACTTACAGGGTCAAGGGGACGTAGTAAGTATGTTAATAATTGAGATAATTGGGGTTTGGCTTATGGGGGCTTATAAGTATACTTACCAAATCCCGCTGTCCCTAAGCCCTGAACCTTATAAACTGGAAACCGCTTACCAACTTTCCCCAACCCTCCAAGTAGGGGGTGTTTGACATTCAGGGGAAGCCGCTACTTGGAGGGTCGGGGGACTTAGCAAGTAGATTAATTACCCCTAGAACCCATAAAGTATCCCTAGTTATGCTAATTGTTAACCTACTTTTTAAGTCCCATGACCCAAAACCCTATAGTCCCCCTTAAGTAGATAGAATATGGCTTTGGGTATTTTATAATAGGATCCCCATATACCCCATATTCTATCTACTTCAGGGGGACTGTAAACCCTAAACCCTTCATAAACCACAACCTACTTTCTAAGTCCCCATGATCTTCCAAGTCGGCAGTCTGGAATTAGAAGCTCTCAACTTCGAACCCTAAGCCCCAGACCCGAAGCCATGCCTTCTGGGTCTAGGGTGTGAGGTTTAGGGTTTAAGGTTTGGGGTTTAGGGCTCAAGGTTTAGGAAATTCAGGGTTTAGGTTTCAGGGCTTGGGGCAGTCTAGAACTAGGCAAGTGACCTTTGGGGCAGATGGTATCTGTCTTTTGGTATGGATGCCTCTACACGTCAAAACCTAGCAGACCAACCTCCCCCAAACTAACATGGAGCCCTTTAGGCCCTTTTGAAAAGGACAGTAGCCCCAGATAGGCAGCTGGTTTCAGGGTTTGTTGAGATTAGTCTTTATCTCCTCCCCCATAAGGATCCGTGCAGTAGCCTCTATACAACCCAGTCCTCTATTCCCAGCGAAGCATGAGTGAGCACCAACCGTAAACCATGCACCATAAAGACCAGAAGGGACAGTGCTATTGCAGTCTGCAGCGTGCTCATTAGTTGGAAGGTGCTCCCGACCTCAAGGCCCAAATGCATAACCCTAAACCCTAAACCCCCTAAACCCTAAATCCACTAAACCCTAAATCTCAAACCCTTAACCCTTAACCTCATGCCATCACTAAACTCTTCAGCATCCCTGGACTCCGTAGTCCTTCGTGTTAGGGCTTGGGGGTTCCTATAAACCTTAGGGCTTCCGGTTTAGGTTTTAAGGTTTAGTGTTTAAGGTTTAGGGTTTAGGGCCTCAGATCTCACGCCTCAAGCATGCTGCACGGCATCCGTGCAGACCCTGCTATCCCTACAGCCTGAATCCTATCGTTTTGGGGTTTAGGGATTTAGGTAGGGTCCAATTTTGGTACCCCTACATATTAGGTGCCGTGATAGAACCGTTCACCAAAAGGGCCCATTATTTTGAGAAAAACCCGAATTGAGGGTGTGGGGATCATGGCTTCGGCTATATATTTCTAAAATCCCCATATACCCCATATTCTATCTAATTAAGAGGGACTATAGTTTACAGGGTGCGGGGCTCAGGGTTGAGGGTCTTGAAGCCCTTCCGCCCGACGATGCACTGAGGATTGAAGCTGCTCGCGCAGCAAACAGTTCCCAGGCGGTGGCCGAGTACGATTTTCGTGGTTTGGGTAAACTTGAAACGCAACGAATCCTTAGGGATCCAAGTATGTACATAAACACTTCGGGCTTTCAAGCCTATTAATACTACCTGCTTCAAGCTATGTGAACTCCTAGATTATACATGAACAAAAGCTTTTTTTGATAGGACGACAATGACATCCAACCCTAAACCCTATATTCTAAACCCTAAACACTAAATCCTAAACCCTAAATCCTACACCCTAAACCTTCAATCCTAAACCTTCGACCCTAAGCTCTAAATCCTAAGCCCTAAACCCTAAACCAAACAACATCCGAGGTTCAAGCCAAGCTGAAGGCCCTGGTGAGCTGGGCCGAAACCCTAAACACTAAGCCCTACTTGGAGGGTCATGGGGACTTAGTAAGTAGAATCTAGGGGTACTCATGGAAAAGAAAATGGAAACTGCCATGTATAGCGGGGGTTTAGGGTCTAGGTCATGGAGACCTAGAAAGTCAGTTAAGATAACTTGGATTAGTATATGGGCTAGAGGGATTATGAACCTACTTCCTAAGTCCCCCTGACCCTCCAAGTAGGGATTTAGGGTACTGGGGGTACCTAGGGTACTTAGGGTACTTGGTCTAGTGCTAAAGGCTTAGGGTTTAGGGTTAAATCTTGAGGGTGCTTATCATTCAGGCTTGTCTATGGAACTGGATTTAGGGGTCAGATATTCAGAAGTTGGTTCACGGCTCGGGAGCTTTCGTGTTATCATGGCGGTTGCTTCAGGATTCCGGCAGTAGGGTTGAGTTTACGGCCGACATTCAGTGCAAGTTAGGGTTTGGAGTTGGTGGGGGGGGGGGGTCTGGAAAAAGTAGACAGCGATAGTGAGTCCTCCTGAACCCTAACCCTAAACCCCTAAACTAGTTTGATTGAAGTGCGGGTGAGCGTGCAGTATGTGTGGGCTCCCACAGGGAGCCGCGCCTGAATTCTAAGTTGGCTTAGATGTAACTTTAGGTTGAGGAAGATTTGCTAGCTACAACTCCTAGTATACTGTCAAAGGATTCATAAGCATACTATGTATATAACTGGGGGCCACCCCCTTATGTAGGCCTTACCCTCCCAGGACTCGACTTAGGATAATCTCTTATGCCTAAATGGCAGCCCTGAACCCAAGACCCTGAACCTAGGGTTTAGGGTGCAGGGTCTCTGGTTTAGTTTTTGGGGTGTAGGCTTTAGGTTATACTGCTTCAGACCTGGGGTTTCGAGCAATCTTTCGGACTCTGAGAACAGGTTGGGATTCGTGGTCCCGATGCGAGGAGGGTAGAAACTCCCTTGAGTAGAAATAGACCGGGTTATGAGTCGATAGGTTCGCAAACTTCCTGTCTCCTTTTTGGGCGCTCGAAACCTTAACACCTAACCCTGCACCCTAAAACCTAAACCTGTTATAAGGGTGATTGAGCTTATCTGGGCAGTGAGAATGGCAGCCTCGAGAACAAGCTTGATAACAGTGGTTTTTGAAAGGAATATAATAATATAGGCGATTCAGGGTCAAGGGTTTCGGGTATGTAGGCGGGCGGGGGCCAGAGGGTTTTTAGTAGGGTCCCTCTACAGGGTTTCTAGGAATTTGGGAGGGTTAAAGAAGAGAAGAGGCAGGCCAAGAACCACGTTTGGATGCGGGCAATACAAGATACAAAGCATCTTGAGAACCTTAGGTTTAGAGTTTATTACCATTACTTAGGGTCTTGGTTTGGGGGCAGGTTTTTGAGCCTAGAATTTTGAGATTAAGGAAATTTGGGCACCCTAAGCAATGGTAAGTTTGATGGGCTTGAGGGTTTAGGGTTTAGGGAGAAATTAGCCCAAATCTTACTACCAATTTCTAAAAGGCTTCTTTTTCAGGCTTCTATGTAGCCCGACATGTAATCTAGCCCAGAAACTCAAACCCTACCCGGACAGCCTAGTTACATAAGACATCTGGCGTGGGAGGAAATCAGGGGACAGTACACTCCCCCAAACTAACATGGAAACCCATATAACCTCTTTTTAAAGGGACTGTAGTCTTTATAGGGCCCCTTTTGGGTTTCCATGTTAGTTCCCAGGAGTGTAGATAGTAAGTAGTCTACTGGCCTTACAAGTAAAGCTTGTAATGCTAGGGTCCCACTCCTAGATGATACATGAGCCGCTGGCAGGAACTGGATCGCGGTAGTCCACGTGGTGCAAACAGCCCATGGGACAAACATCTTTCTGAAGGCGGTGACTTGTCTGCCAAGGGTTCACGGTTGTGGGGTTGTCTAGGGCCTAGGGGGTTCAGGGTTTAGGGTTTTTGTCTGTATCCCAGCTTATATATAGCTTAGTAGTAATTACCCTTCATGGGCAGGTATAACTACGCACAAAACTGCAGGCACGTGGAGTTACAGGTAAGGATTTGGGATACTGCCCCCGCCAAGCAGCAGTTCCATAATAGCTACAATGTGAACATATAGAGTCCTTGATATTATCCCATCGACCAAACTAGGGCATGTTACAGGCAAACCCTAAGCCCCTCAACCCTAAGACCTACCTAAACCCCAAAAATATTTAAAATAATAGCCCTAAACCCATAATAACAGCCATAAAGGCCATCATTTTACATACTTTTGGGGTCCAGGTAGACCCTAAACCGCGGTGCGTTTGGGGTGTAGAGGTCAGGGCGTAGGATGGTCAA